TTCGTTCCTTCAAGGGCTGGCAATGGGCGATTCTCCCTTATCTTGCATATCTTAGGCCTCTGGATGGCTGCGTTCCCTGCAGCTCCTTCTTTCACAACTTTGCTGGATGTGTCGCCTCGCCCTTCTCAAGGCTCAAGCACAAACATTTGTTAATTATCACAACACATAGGTCGGGCTCATGGACAATGGATTCCAATTCAAAAGCACGGTAAGGCAGGCAACACAAAAGTCCAGGAAAAGGCTGAATAAGCAACGCACTACGACATCTAAACGCAATATTAAAACTGTTTTCCCTTGCATCAGCTTGGCGTGCTAAACCAAGGCCAAAGATACAGGCTCTTTGTTAAGGGGCAGAGGAGAGCGGAGGAGCGGGAGCCCCATCTCCCCCAGCCTGGTCTAAGCCAGCGCCACGCAGGGAGGGTCCCGCGCCCCTCTCTGTCTGTCTGTCCGGCCGTCCCAGCCCGGCGGCCGAGTGGGGCTCTCCCAGGCCCGCCAAGAGCAGTGTCCCTTAGGTCGCCGTCTCCAAAAACTCTTCTAAGCCTTTCTTGATGTGCGGCGGCTGAGAGGCGGCGTGCGCCAAGAGGCTCTGGCCCATCTGTGCGAAAAGCGCTCTGGATAACTTGGCGGTGGCCACGCGGATGTTGCCGCCGGCTCCAGGCAGAGAGCCGCCGGGCGTCATGCTGCCCAGCAGGTGCCAAAGCACCACCAGGACCTTCTGCTCCACAGCGTTAGGCGTCCGGGGGTATAACTCCGTAACGAGGTCTGCAATACGAGCAGGGTTGGAAAGACTATTTTAAAAATACCGTTCAGAAGCAAACCCTGCGTTGACAGGTGTTTAAAAGCATTTAATATCAAATCATCTTCTCAAAGCTTGGTACGCACAAGACCTTGTCCTCTCGCCCCAACAGCATCAGCGTTCTGCTGAGAAAGCCTGGTCCCTACCGTCAGCCCTCTTACCCTCTCCTCAGGACTTCACACAAGTAGCACTAGGAACTGCTGATAATTATAATTTTCCACTGAATTAAAACAAGTAGAAGAAACAAAGGTTTTCTGAGTGGTTTTGGGGTTTTTTTTTAGTCAGAATTTTCAGAAGGACCTTTATTTCTCACAGCACATTGTGTAACAGCTGGTATTGTATCATTTCCCCTTCATCTCTGAAATCTGCAGTATATATCTGAGTTTACCTCAATTTAAGGAGCAAAGGAGCCTTACACTACAAATACATGTAGAATGAAGCATTTTCCCTACTTAGACAATTATATCGCAAATTAAAAGTATTTCTTTTGCAAATGTTTGCTTTTTTGTTAGAATGGGCTCT